GAATGGAAACCCCCTTAAATAGTTTGGCTAATTGTTTGTAATTAAAAATTTGTTAAAATGAAATTAAATTTAAACCACTTAAAAATTGTTTTTGGTGTTTATTTTTGGTAGGTAAATTTTTAGAAAAAATTTAATTTTAATTTTCTTTTTAAGAAATGCAAATTGGGGGAAAAAAATTTAAATTTTTTTGAATATTTGGGGTCTAGGATTTTTTGGGAGGTTTTGTGATCTTGCGCTTAAAAGGGTTGGTTTGTTTTTTTTTTTTTTTTTTTTTTAATTTCATTCTTTGATGCATTTAGTGGTGTGATGTCCCCCCGTATTTTGCCTCCCATGACGCTATCAAAACTAACCCATGTTTTTTTTTTTTTAAAATGCGTCTGACATGCTTTTGATTGATGACCCCCCACTTCCTGCTGACACAGCATAAAATATTTTTCACGTTTTTCTAACAAAGGGGAAGCTTCCCACAAACACACACAAACACAACAAACAAAACACCAACAAAAAACACCCCACAAACAACACACCCCCACACACACACCGTAATCAGACCAACGACGTTTTTTAAAGGGTTTTCATAAAATTTTTTCAATTTGCATCTTTTAGAAAAAGCGATCATCTACCAATGTTTACAATATTCTGAAACCAGTTAGATAAATCATTGTCGATTAGGAAATAAACTGTCGTTATTTGCAAAAATTGGGCTTATTCCACTTTTTCCCAAAACCCACTTGGGGAAAATTTGAAGCACGGGTCGTTCTCTAGTTATGGCATAAATTCAAACGATTCCTTTTGTTTTTATATTCTGGGGCTCTGGGGGTGGGGTTAACGCTCTCGCCTTTCACACGGCGGGGCCGGGTTCGATTCCAGCCAAAAACATTGGCTGTTTTTTTCCAACTGTTGTCATGTTCCCCATCATTTAAAATGGGTCCTGGGTGTTGTCGACTGGTGGGTCGCATCCGGGGACATGACCAAGGGAGGCCTGGTAAACCCGGCCCGGGGGCGTTGCCCCCCGGAACTCTCTCCAGAAACTCCAATAAACTATTCTATTTCAAAAAATTTAGCAGTGTAAACAGGACTTTAGGGGTTCGTCTTGGCCGAAAATGTGGCAGATTTAAATACTGAACCGTGAAGATGGGTAAACCAAAAATTAATTCAACTTGATTGAGGGGGACTGATTTTAATAAAAAATTTTGACCATATCTAACCTACGTTCATGACCCTTCCGTCGCCATCATTTTTAAAGGCCTTTTTAAAAACGTTGAAGTTTAGTTACTGAGGTTTTGGGATAACCAAAGCTGTTCCAAAGCTGGAAAGGGGTTCGAACCCTTTTTTAGTGCAATGACTTACCATAGATCCAAGTTTTTCGATCTTCTTTTCTTTTTAAAAAATCTAAAATTTTTTTAAGCCAAAAAGGCAGACTCGAAAGGTTCTTCTGGGAACCTTACAATATCCCCAAAAACATATTAGGGTTCTTTCCTATTTCTTAATCTAACAGCAGAAGCCTTCACGTCGGGGTCATTGTTTTTTGTTAGAGGAAAAAAATTTTAAAATTAATGGACTGGGCAATATTGCGGGGGTGAGGTAATAACGGGGGTTTGGTCTGGCCCGGATGGTTTTAGAAAAGGCACAGTACCGCGCCTCTTCACATAAAATGGGTCTCCAAAAGGTGTCGCAAGGGTTTTATACCTGAAAGTTTTTTTTAAATAATGCTAGAAAAAGTCATGTAACTAATTAGTAATCTCGGGGAAGTAAACAAAAAAAAAATTAATTTTTTACTGATTTCTTCAAGAAAAAACTTTTTTTAGTTGCATATCTTAAGTTATGACGTTAGAGAAAAGTTGATAAGACACTTGGGGGATCATTGGGATCTTTTTTTTGGAACTTTCGTCAGAGGCTTTCGTCCAGGGCAAGTAAGCCACTGCGGCAAACGTTTCCTAAAGGTACCAAAAAGCGCCAGGTCTCATTTACAACTTATTGGTTTTTTTAACTTGTTTTTTTGTAATGTTTTTTTTGGCTGACTATTAGGAAAGGGAAAAAGTATAAATAAAATAAGTATCGTGTGCGATCGTCCCCACAAGCGGGATGGGAACGAGAACGCTGAAGCTACGTATCCCGCTCCATGGCCCCGGGGCCCCCAATCAAAGGGCACCCTCCACACCCGTGCCCTCCCCGGGGGCCCTGTTTTAGCCACCTACCCAAAAGTGCCCTGACTATCCCCACTCCAGCCCCACCAACCCCGTCTGGCACTGTTGTAAAAATAGAGGGGGTGCTGACGGCGCCTTGAGGGGGTTGAAATAAACTACCTGAGCAGGCACAGGGCTTATGTTTTTTGTTGCGGCGCTGACTTTTATGATTTTCCCCCAACCCAACCTAAACTAATTAACCCTACCCAACTAACCGCTAACCTAACCCCCCCAACTTAGAAATTTTTTGGGAAAACCCTTTATTTCTTTTCAAAGTTAGACTTAGCAAGTTAAAAACTAAAACCCCCTTTATTTTGAATCAGTTTCCCCCATGGGAGGTAAGAAAACTGAACTGTCTATGCAAGACCGACCCCGTAGAAATTATATAGAATGAGGAAACCACAGCTTTAAGTCTTGATAATTATGTTGAATTTATTGTCTGAAGATATAAATGGGTTGAAAATTATTGTCCCAGAATTATTTGGTACAAAACATTCATGAATTTGTTATTGCAGAACTTTGGTTTTTTTTTTGGGGGAAGAGAAAAACTGGGGGGTCTGGGTGGTTATATTGTGGGACTTCTAAAGTGTGAGTAAGGTGGATAATGTAACTTGTGAGGTGTGAGTTAGGTGGATAATAACGTAACTTGAGGAAGGTGGATAATAACGTAACTTGTGAGGTGTAAGGTGAATAATAGCTTAACCTGAGGTGTGAGTGTAGGTTGGAGGTGACGGTAGCAACAGTACTGAATTGGTATCAACAGTCATTGACCCGAGGAATGGGAGCTACCCTCCCCTTCCTTGTATAAAAAGGATTATTTGGTGTTCTGGTAGCGGGGAGTAAATGATATATCTTCTTCGGAGGCTTCTTACTTTGTTAAGTCGTGGTGGGTACACAGGCTTGTGTGTTTGTGCCCATGGCCCGGGAAGGGCCATCCCACGAGAGAGCTACTAGTACTTGTCTTGCTGCTAGGCTGCTGTGAGTGAGAGCGTGGCAAGGCCAGGCAGGCTGAAGTGGCCATGCCTGTAGGTGGCAGCACCAGCATGGGCTGTCTGTACAGACGGTACAGGCTGTCTACATACGCTCGGCCACCTACCGCGCGTCGTCCCGACGCGACAATACTGGTGGTAAAAGAAACTGTCTCTCTCTCGTAGGAACAGGGCACAGAACACAAAATAAAAACATATATAAATATGGACAAGGAAAAAAAACTTCCTACAGAAAGGAAGAAAAAAACATGTAGGGTGTGCTAAACATCGTGGTCAAAGGCA